ACTACCACGACTACTACTACTACTACTACTACTACTACTACTACTGCTACTGATACTACTACTACTGCAACTACTACGACTACTATTATTACTACTAGCTCTACTACTACGACTACTACCACTACTACGACTATTACTACTACTACGACGCTGACGACGACTACTACTACTACTACTATACTACTTACTACTATACTACTACTACTACTACTACTACTACTACTACTACTACTACTACTACTACTACTACTACTACTACTACTACTACTACTACTACTACTACTACTACTACTACTACTACTACTACTACTACTACTACTACGACTACTACGACTACTACTACTACTACTACTACTACTACTACTACTACTACTACTACTACTACTACTACTACTACTACTACTACTACTACTACTACTACTACTACTACTACTACTACTACTACTACTACTTACTACTACTACTACTACTACTACTACTACTACTACTACTACTACTACTACTACTACTACTACTACTACTACTACTACTACTACTACTACTACCCCCTCCTCCTCCCCCTCCTCCTCTCCTCCTCATCCTCCTCCTCCTCATCCACTCTTGTTCCTGATGGATGTTTCCTCCCTGTCGCACCGCGAGGCCAATCGGAAGGGCGGGCCTGGCGGGCCGCCTGGGGCTTCTTCCCATGTATGAGCCTTAAGCTTCAAAACTGGCAACAATTTCGACAGATTGAAGGCGGGTCGTTTTCAAAAGTTGGCTCTCGCCTTAGCACCGCGCACATTCGTTTTTAACCATTTCGAAAGATTCGCGGAGTGAGGGCGGTTCCTTTTCAAAATGTGGCCCTCCATTGCGCGCCACGCACACTGGTCTTGAAAAGTTGCAAGAGCTTCACGGGTTAAAGGCGGCTCCTTTTCAAAATGTGCCTCTCGCCGTAGCACCGCGCGCAATCGTTTCGGAAATTCGCAAGACTTCCACTGATTCTCATCGCTACCGTACGAGTAAGTGTGTTGTGGATGAAGTCACGACTGTCAGGGCGCAACAGTTGCGCCACGTCACGGTGTTGAAGTCCCACGACTGGCATTCTGGCACGAGTCAGCATCGTAGAGGCGCGACAGTCAGGTTGTACTGTGGAGTAAAAGTCCTGAGAATTGTGTTTTGGCACGTTTCCGAATTATCACGCGGTTGTCCTCCAACGGGGTACTTGCCCCAATGGAAATGAATCATTGAAAGGGCCTCTGAAAACGGAGCTTAGAGGGAGGGAGTATTGCAACATCGTTGATGGGTCTTGGGTTTACACCTGGGGGTATTCCAACATCGTTGATGAGTCTTGGGTATACACTGGTCCTCCTCCTCCTCATCCCCCTCCTCCCCGGACGTATCCAAAGGGGGGGTCGTAGGTCATCACGCCTCAACCTCAGCCTGCTGTAAGAGCTGGGATCGAGCAGCACGAGCATGCATAGATATATATATATATATATATATACATATATATTATCATTGACAACTACAGACAGATGCCTGATCGAGTTGTAAAGATAAAAACCCAGCACGATCCTTTGGACAGCTAGCAATCTCTGAGGGTCCGCCAGTTCCCGGGCTAACCCCAGACGTCGTCCCAGAAGGGGCTCAATCGGGATCTGCGGGCACCAGACTTCCAAAAACGCACCCCAAAGAAGAGGGCACGACATGTAGTGCCGCTGGGCATCTTCCCCATTGGCACCACCAAATTTGCAGGCACGCCGCTTCTGGGACATACGACTTTCCGTGGTCCAGCCTCCTACTAGAGTCTTAACCACACAGCTTTGCCACGCAGGAGGCAGCTGCGAGATGCACTCCTTGAGCGCAGGCCACGACAAGCCAGCAGTGGCCCTAGCCGACGGAGGTCGTAGCGTCCACTTAGCCAATCTCTTGAGGAGAGTGGGAGCGAGGTTCTCCTTAAACAGGGACGCAAAAAGGGAACTCGCCAGAGTCTTCTGGATTTTGACGGCAGGATCGTCCCCCTGCGCCCCGCCAAGAGCTTCCAGGGCAGCGGCGACAGGCCCCCGAAGCCGCGCACACTCAGGGAATCCCGCATCCGCTCTAGTCAGCTCCTGGACAAAGGGGCGAGCCGTCCAGTGCGGCGGCGACCAGACATCCCTACACCAGCGCTTCATTGGTAGGAGACGCTTCGCCTCACACCGAAGTCTGCTCCACAGGGGGCGCCAGTTAGGTATTGTATGCCGCGCAGCGCGGATCAGAGCGCACGTAGCCTGAACTCGAATTGACTGTGGGCGCAGCTTTGTCCAAACCCTCAAGGCTAGAAGCTGATCTAGCGGAAACGAGAAAGGGGGAAGATGCAAAATCTTGTGCAGCGCCCAGGATTCCCACTTCAGAATCGATTCGGGAATCAGCGTCAGCTGGGCAAGGTATCAGAATTTTGAGATAGCCCTCGAATAATAGAGCTGCAGCGCTATCGATGGCGGAGCAGACTCTTTAGCCAGACTCTGAACCACTCCCACCCACTCCCGAAACGCCCTCGCCCACACCCAGTCCCTAGAGCCAGCAGCTGGCCCAATCAATACGCCGAGGTACTCTGCTGCTTCAACTACTGGGATGTTGCACCATCTCGGGGCAACGGTGGCAACCTGTTGTGAAACCCTTCTCGCAAGATCCTCAGAAAAAAGCCTCAGAGACAGGCACGATCCGACACTTAGGGATTTTCAGAAACAGGGTCGCCAGAAACTGAGCAGCATTAAACGTGCCCGAGAGACGTGCGAAAGCCGAAAGTTCCGAAACCAGGACCCCCACGTCATCCGCGCACACCGCAACCTCGGACCTAGGGTGCCACCTCAGCCGCTTTCGCATGTCTCCCAGGGAGGCATTGCCAGAGCCCAGAGGGATCCCGATGCAGGGTCACCCTGCATGACTCCCGACGAGATGGCCCCGAACGAACCTCCTCCTCCTCCTCCTCCTCCTCCTCCTCCTCCTCCTCCTCCTCCTCCTCCTCTCCTCCTCCTCCTCCTCCTCCTCCTCCTCCTCCTCCTCCCCTCCTCCTCCCCTCCCTATTTTCCTCCTCCTCCTCCTACTCATCCTCCCCCTCCGCCTCCGCCTCCGCCTCCTCCTCCTCCTCCTCCTCCTCTCCTCCTCCTCCTCCTCCTCCTCCTCCTCCTCATCTCCTCTCCTCCCCTCCTTCCCTCCCCTCCTCCCTCTTCCCCCCTCCTCCTCCTCCTCCTCCTCCTCCTCCTCCTCCTCCTCCTCCTCCTCCTCCTCCTCATCATCATCATCATCATCATCATCATCCTCATCCTCCTCCTCCTCGTCCTCATCCTCGTCGTCCTCTCCACTCCGCATGAATAGATCCTCCCTGTCGCATCCCGAGGCCGGTCGGAAGGGCGGGCCACGCGTTTCGCCTGAGACTGCCCGACCATGTATGAGCCTCAAGCTTAAAAAAACTGCCAGCAGCCTCACATATAGAGGGCGGGTGGTTTCCAAAATGTGGCTCTTGGGGCAGATCTGGTTTTGTCAGGTGGCGCGGCCGCGCACACCGGAGTGCTGACGCGGCCCCAACACCCACCCCCTGGGCAGGCCTGGATACGCAACGGCGACGGGGGTATCAGCAACATCGGCAACGAGAAACGACGATAAACGTACAAAAGTTCCGACGACGGTGCGGATACACACCAGGTTGCATGGGTAAGTACAAGGACCAAGGACAAAGACGGCACGAGACAAAGCTAAGATCTCATCGACGACTAAAAGATGATAAGCAGGGGGTGGTGACACTAGAGGCAATGCAAGCACCAAAGTAATGAACGAATTCACCAAACGTACAGGCAACTAGGGTGAATCACGATTGGCCCATGAAACGATACAACCAAACCACGCTCAAAAGGGAGAGGCAAAGAGAGGGAAATGAAGACGGTGAAAGGACCGGGGAATACGGGGAGAAGGAGGAACGCGATGCAACGCACAGATTTCAATGACGATTGAAAGCTGAAGCTGTGAAATGTTTTGGCCACGGGTCTGGGCCCGACCACCGCCATGGGCGCGAAGCCCTCGAAACGATCACGGTTGATCACCATAAAGCCGTGGTAGATGCCAGTCGTGTTCCCCAGCTTGCACACACCTCGACAATTGAACGAAAAAGGCGCAGCGAATCCGGAAAACGCAACTATGCTCACAACGCCCGCTGAAAGCTGAACATGAATTTTCGACGAACCCAACCCATGCGTACCAAGTCTTGTGACCATAATAGTTGTCCAACAAAACAGCGGATCACAACCGCGCAGGAACCCATATTCGTTGCGCAAACTACATGGGATGCGCGCGCGATGCGCGATTTGCGGGACAGCGACAGAAGGACAAGGAATGAGGCGCCAGGCGCGAAGAGGATGGGGGCTGGCATCAGGGGCTGGAGATGGAGGAAGGAAGAACCAGGAGGAGAACGACAACGAAGGAGAGGGGACGAGAAAACACGGCGGCGATGTTTTCAAGCGGTTCGCTGATGAGCCTCGATGCCGACGCAATTTCGGCCTGACGCCCTGAATGACCAGCTGTTCATAATTAGTGCAAGAAGCGAGCGATGCAAAAGCTCCCCCGCCAAACGCGTCGCTTCCTTCCTTCCTGCATTTTTCAACGGGAAATAATCACCCGCAGTCGTGCCGCCGGGTCTGCCGGCGGCACGGGGGAAATGAAATCGACCCCCGGGCCACGTATCATCAGCAAGTGTTCCACCTTCGTGGCTCTGTAGAACATCGCGTAGAGATGCATCCAGAGGCTGGCCAGAGACAGTTTCGCAGTTCGCTGACGGCGCGGTCGTATCTGACCTGACTGGGACGCCATTGCGCTGAACCTCTCAGAGGCCCACTAACGACGCCCTCGCAGTTCGCAGCCACCAGCGACCGCGAGGTCTCGTCTTATCTGAACAAGACGTCGTTCTGCTGGACCTCCGAAGGCCCACGGAAAGTCCGACAGCCTCGCAGCTCGCAGCCCCAAACGATTGGCGAGGTATCATCTGATTTGAGAGGGGCGTCACTCTATCTCGCAGCTCGCAACCCCGAGCAACAGCGGGGTCTCATCTGATCTGAATAGGACGTCACTCCGCTGAACCTCCAAGAAGCCCGCTCAACTGCCGACTGTCTCGCAATTCGCATATCCCAACGACGGCGACGTGACATTTGATCTGAATAGCAAGTCGCCGCTCTGGACCTCTTGGAGGCCCACGACACTTTCGGTCTCGCAATCCGCAGCCCGCGAGGAATCGCAGGCAGGTAGGGTAGGAGACAGATAGGAAGCAGGAAGTAAGAGAGAGCGGAAGAAAGGAGGAGGGAGGCGGGACAGGGACCTGTTGACCGCAGTGCCCTATTCAAAAAGAGAACCCAACGCAGGAGAGTGGGGGAAAATCCGCCGATCCGGCGTGTGAGTTTCAAAGACCCTCAGAACAGCCCGCGCCTCAAGTCCTGAGTTTCAGCTCTGCTCGGGGGTGGGTGTCGGGGTGGCTCTGCCAGGGTAAGGAGAGGGGGGGGGTCGATTTCATTTCCGAGGCGGAATCGGAGTTCCAGCCCACTCCAGGACGGCCCCCTCGCCCAGGAGGGCCCCGACATAGGCCAAGAGGGCCCCGAATCGCCGAGCGATCGCTACAAGACGCCCAAGATGCTCCAAGACATCCTCAGAAGCCCTGAAAAAATGCCTCCCAAGGAAGGCCTAAAGAAGCAAAAAGTGCCCCATTCCTTCAGGAAAACGCACAATCTTAGCACATTCGCCTCGTGGGCCTTCAGAGCGTCACAGACGCCCCAAGAGAGCCCCAAAACGGCACAAGAAACCGACAAGAGGGCTCCAAGGCGGCCCAAGGAGGGCCCGAGATGGCCCAGGAGGCCCCCAGAAAGGCCCAAGAGGGCCCCAGGTCGGGCCCAAGAGGCGCCTGAGAGGGCGCCAAGACGGCGGAAGAAATGCCGAAGACGGCCCAAGATGCCCCCAGCAGGCCCCCAAAAGGCCCCCAAGAGGCTTGAGGAAGCACCAGGACGCTTCCAACTGGCCCCGAAGAGGCCCCCTGAAGCCCCCTAAAGGCCCCCAAGATTTTCAAAAATGCATCCAAGACGCCTTCTAAAGGCCTCCAAACTGCCTCGACTCCAAGACTCCCCCCGAGAAGCCCAAAACCAGCCCCAATGCTTCCACGGCGCTTACGTCTGAACGCAAGCGCTGCAATACAAAAGGTTCTTCCACGCTTTCACACTCCCGTCTTCGGTGTCCTTCACATCCATGATCTCACAGGGGCCCACAGAGGACCGCGCGAAGGCCCCAGAGACCCCAAAAACACCATGGCTCCTAGCAGAGACAGGCGATGCACAAGGCTCCACAAAGAACTGTGACGCAGACAGCTCTAGCACAAAGTTTTTTCAGAGAGTGCGCCATATCGGCGAAGCTTCAACCCAAAGAGGGCCAACACCGGGCCCCAAAGAGGCTTTCCAACAACCGCCGAACATCTCCAACAACCGCCGAAAATCCGCCGATTGGGCGCGTGAGATCCCGAGAGCGCGGGCTCGAGCTCGCTCAAGCTTCGCTCTGTCGGGGGGGGGGGGGGGCGACGCCTTGGCTGACGCCATTCAGGCCCAGGAGAAGGGAGGGGGGCGGGGAGCTCGCTCAAGCTTCGCTCTGTCGGGAAGGGGAGGGGCTGACGCCATAGCTGACGCCATTCAGGCCCGGGAGGGAGGGGGGGCGCGGGGGGAGCGCCATGGCTGACGCCATTCAGGCCCGGGAGGGGGGAGTCGGGGGGGAGGGGGGGGCTGGCGCCATGGCTGACGCCGTTCAAGCCCAGGTGGCGCCATTCAGGCCTGGGAGGGAGATGCGGGGCGAGGGGGGGGGGGCATGGCTGACGCCATTCAGGCCCGGGACGAGGGAGTCGGGAGGCGCGGGAGGGGGGGCTGACGCCATGGCCGGCGCCTTCCATGGCCGGCGCCTTTCGGGCCCGGGAAGGGGGAGGAGGGGGGGGGGCTCACGCCATTCAGGATGTTTGGTAAAACTGATGGATCTCCCCGACTCCAGAACTGGCGCGGGCTTCCACTTGCGGTTCCCTTGCTCCTGCCCTTGCCTCTTGCTTGCCCTTTCTCTCTCCCTCTCTCTTCACCGCCGCTCCGCGGCTCAAGCCTTTCCAAGGCCAAGCTGGGGGTCGGCCTCAGGTGGCCTAAGGCCGGGCCCCGGGACGGGGCCGGAAGACCTTCGCCCGTGTCCGGGCGCGAAGGGGGCGCCCGCAGCCATGGAGCTGCGCCTGGCGCCGCGCGGCCGAGTCGCGCAGCTGCGCGGCAGTGTCGAGCCCGGGTGCCGAGCGGCACTGGCTCGCGCTAGCCGCGGAGCACTCGGGGGCGGCGGAGCAGCGCACGCGGCGCAGCTCGCCCCCGCCGAGCAGGGAGCCAGGCGCGCGCCAGCGCCGGCTCTCGCTCCAGCCCAGACACGGGCGGCGAGGCGTGCATGCGCGCTGGGGCCCGTCTGGTTCGTCGTCCTCCCGGAGGTGGTGGGAGTGGTCGGCGCCGAGCTCACGCACGAGCCGGCCCCCAACACCGAGGTCTACTACGACGACGAGGTGAACGTGGACATGAAGGGGTTCTGGCTCGACGGGCCCATGGACTCCCCGATGCATGTGGGCGCGCTGCCGGCCGAGGTCCACTCCGTCGGCGGACAGGCTGCGTCCGCAGGGAACAGCGGAGGGGGCCCGCCGCGCGAGCGCTCAGCGCCGCCGGCTGGCCCCCCCCCCCAGGGCCCGACCCGCGCACCCCCCGGACCCCCCCGATGGGGACCACCTTCAGGGCCGTGGGGAGTTTCAGGTCGGCCTTCTCGACTCGTGAGGCAGGAGGCTGGCTGAGCTCAGAGGGTGGCTGGGTGCTGTGCATGGCGGACCAGATGGGCCTCTCCATGTTCGGCTCCGCGTGGCCGCTGATCGCCGGGCTCGTGGTTGTCTTCGCCAGCACCGGGGTGGTCGCGCTCTTGGCCCACAGCCTGAGGACGCTCTTCGCACCCTGCAGCTGGGCAGCTTGGACCTGTAGCTTGGTGCTGGCGTGCTGCCCCTGTCCGAGGCGCCGGACGCCTGGCGAGGTCAAGCTCGACAAGCTGGCCCCGCCGGCGGCGCCACCGCTCACCGATGTGGCGCGGCACGGGCCGACTACAGGGGCCGACCCGACGACCGACTGGCACCGCAAGAGCATCAAGGAAAGTCGGGGCTCCAAGCGCGGCCAGAACGACCTCATGATCAGGGTGGACTACCGGGTTGCCCGGCTCAAGCTCAACATGAAGTCTCCTGAACGCATCAATCGCCAAGGATTGTGGGTAGAGTATGATTCTGTGAAGGGCGCCAGCGACAAGAGTTTCCGGCGCGAGTTGGAGCAGCGGGATCCTCGCTGGCTTCACCTGTGCCGTTCCTCAAGCTGTACCGGGTGCAAGGGTCGCGAGAACGAGCTGCACTGCAAGGAGTACGCCGCCCTCGACAATGAAGCTATCGTGGATCTCGGTGACTACTCGAAGTTCACCCCCTGCCGAATCTTCGTCTGGCTCTGGAGGGGGACGGGCCTTGTCTACAAGTTGTTGCTGTACATCCTCTCGTGGTTCTCATGTTGTGGTGCATGCATCTGCCGCCGGCGCCGCCGCCGTCACAAGACTGGCGATGCGGAGCCTGGCGTGCAGGGGTCAGTGGCAAGGCTACTTGATCAGGAGTCCGAGTCCGAGGTGGACGCCGAGGACAACCCCTGCGAGGCGGTGAAGGCGGGGCTCATGATCAAGGGCAAGATGCGTCCACTAGCACCTGAGGGTTGTCGGGACGCTGCACGCGGGGACCCCACTGTGCTGTTGGTGGAGGATGGGCGAGCCTCGGACCTCCCACTCCCAAGCGAGGGGAGCGCAACGGCTTGCCTCTGTGAGCATCACCGGCAAATCTACATGGTCCTGCGCTACGGCGAGAAGTGCTCTCAAGTGACCTGTTTCCGGGAAGCGGTGGGCATGGCCTCGGGGGTCCCGCTCTGCCTGCAACACCTTGGGGGCGATGCAGCCCGTGCGATCCACGACAACCCCGCAGGGGTCGGGTTCTTCGCAGGACTGCGGCGCCGAGCTCGGCGGAGCCCCGCACCACGGAGCCGCACGCCG